ACTCCTTCTCGTCTCTCGACTCCTCTAATATCGATATAGATCCTTATTACCGACTTAGCTATAGAAAATAGTAGACCGTAGATCGCTAGGAAGCTACGTCTATCTACATCTCTCGCTTTCCCTCTACACTCTAATGCCGTTATCTAATTACTATTACTATAGGTCGTTCCTCCTCCGAGAACTAACTATAGAACTCTAAACTCTTAGCTTAACCGAAAGGGATAAGCACGGGTACGAGCGCTACCTATCGGCCCCGGAGACTACTTATTCTAACTCCTTTAGAACTCCTAGGTTCGACTTTAAGTGTTAAGGCATAGCCGGTACTAGCGATAGAATCGAAGAGCAGTTAGTAGAAGATATAGAGCTAGTTGTGTTACCTAGATTCTTTATATAGCCTTTAAAGTTCTACCTAGGCTATCTATGTAGCTACTAGATACTAAAGTCCACTAGTAAGCGGGACTTGCTCTTAGAATCTCTTAAGTTAGATAGTATAGAATACGGCTATAATGTTTAGTTACGCTTAAGATAAGTGTCTAGGAACTAGTTAGGCTAAGCAAACAAACTTAGAAATTGTTCTTTGCCGTTATTATCTCTCTACGGGAATAGTGAGATTTTTCTCCCACTATAGATATATATCCTAACTAGCTAAGATTTGTAGTAGTCTCGGCGGGCCTTAGGGGCTAGAAGTTATCGACTCCTGATTTTCTACTTTATTAGACAAAGTTTAACTACTAACTATGTCTCTAAAATAGAAGTAATACGCGGCCGAGCTTAATTCTCGCTATACCTTTTAGTATTATACGTAGAACTACCCGAAGAACAAATACGGGGACTTATAGGTAGTTATCGGCGAGGGGATTAGAAGGAGATACATTAAGCGAGAGACTACGGAAAAAATGCGGAGCTAACGGAATAAATAGACATGTTCTAGATTAGACCTATAAAGCGGAGGCTAGAGGTAGCGTAGTAGAAGGGCATATATACAGCTATCGTTACGGTAGATCGATAGATAAATAAGTAATCAAGCCTATTCTACTTTAATTATTACGGCCTAGGGCATGTCGTATTAGTCTTATAAAGGCACTAGTTACTTAAAGGCATCTTTAGCGTTGTTCGGTCTTTACACGGGCTTATACAATTAATTAGAGACACTGCTTATCGATCTCGCGCATTTTTCGTCTCGATAACGTTACTACGAAAGTCCTATAAGCTAGTAGACTAGCCTACAGTATTTATGTCCTCTACTCCGCTCGTGTCTTTCTATACCTAATACCGGGCAGTTATATATTGCTCTTGCTCTATACTATAACTAGAGGCACGCCTCGATACCTATTCGTCGCTTACGTAACGCGAACATCGATCCACTTTAGGCCCTCGCTACCCTTGCGACACACATATTAACATAATTACTAAAAAAGATCCTAGAGTAATGAACATAGGTCGTAGCGTATATAATACTACGGGAACTCCTAAACCAAGACCGAAGCCTACTACGAAAAGAGGATAATCTTATCGCTCTCCCTCCTATCGGAAATAGTCGCCCCGAGACGTACTATATTACGTTACGGGTGCTACTCTATAAGCTAGGTGCTTCGAATTAACTATAATGTCTCCGACACGTAAGCGACTCCCGAGTGTTTAAGCCTAGGCTATCTAGGCTTTACTACCCCGAGGAGAGGACAGCCGGAGGTAGCCGTATACGAAGGGAGGAGTAGCGAAAGGAAGCTACGTGTAAAGATCCCTAGCGCGATGTTTGTAGCGGATTTTATGCGGGCGGTAAGGGGGATAGACAGGAAATGTGTAACCTAACAGCCGAATTACGCCGAGGAGACGGGAAGAAAGAAACTATTTAGCTAGGAGGTATCTCTTTAGTAGATGGGCGGTAGGACTACCTTCTATAAGAAACTCTTCTTCTTGTGTAAATCGATCGCCTTACGTAATTCCTCTTAACTACGAAAGCTCTTAAAGAGGCTCAGCCTGCCTATAAGATCTGGGTTTAGCTCGCTATTAGAGGAAGAGCTAATAAGAGACAATAGGAACGACTTCGGACTTATAACTACTAAAAATGGCTCTATACTAAAAACTTATAGATTTTAAGAAATTCTCTAGAGAATCCGAGCGGCTAAAGAAGGATAAAAGCCTATACGATAACGATAAGGCTTATCCGAAGGCTTATATCGAAGCCTATAAAACCCTTATCGGCTCTCTTTAAATTATAAAATACGACGTTAAGGCTCTAGTCGACGTTAGGTATAGGGATAAAGAAACGGCGCTGTTCGTTTTACTATAATATCTTCTCGATAGTCTCCTCGTTCGGATCGGGCTAGACCTTAACGTATATAGCTGAATTAATCTTCTACTAAGCTATGTAAGTTTACACGATAATAGTGGAGAACCCTCGAATAGCGGATAGCCTTAGTTAGTTAGTGCTATTAAATAAGGAGACTTTTAATCAGCTAGCCGTCTTACGCGTTAAGCTCACATGTTACATAGAGGGTTTAGTAAGACTCGGTCTTTTATAGTCGTATAGCCTATAGCTTAATACTACTAACGGTGCCGTATAATAGCAGAACTTAGATAACATAGAATCTATATACACCTTACCTCCTTCTAGCCCCTACTAGTCGAAAATTCGTTTTAGGCTTAGTAGGGCTATAGTAGTAACGATATAGTCTATAGTAAAGGACGTAAGTGTAGGGTCTTACGGAGACTACGCTAATAAAAGATCTAATGTACTTAGACTTAAGTGTATCCGTTATACTTTTTTAGGTGCTTTATTTCTGTCGGTAATACCTAAAGCAGTGTAATTTAAGAAGATAGTAGGTAGGCACCTTACTTCTCCCGCCTTTAATAAACTAGCAGATTTGGTAATTAGGAGGAATTAATGCGCATAGCTCTCCCTTACACTTATGTCCTTACTTTTTGTGCGTCTTTAGATGTACGTCTAACATAACAAGCACTATAATCTAGCTCCGCTTTCCTTTACCTATACTAGTCTTTCTCTTACTCTAATAGGAATCTGCAAAATAATAGTATATTAGAATATACTTCGAAGATAGGCTTCTTCTATTTCTAAATATATAAACGACACGCTAATTAATACTACCCGTTATCTAATTACCGACGAAAACATTAAAGGATTATTGTCTTAGCAGCTATTTAGTAGCTGCCTTCCGGGTTTCCAGATATTGCGCTATAAAAGGTCTCTATAAGGGCGACTTATTTTAAGTCCGATCCTATAACCTAGTGAAGATTCTAGAGGAGGTTACATTCGTCGATAGTTAAGACCGTAACTATAAACTTATAGGCTTCTTCGGTGTATTAGACGGTTTATTCTATAGCAACAAAAGTCTCTAAGCAGATCGATCGAGTATAGGGGTTAGTCCTAGTTCTAAATAGGGCTATACCCTCTAGTAACACCGCGTCTCTACCGCTATAGATACTAATAGTAGCCTAGTTCTCGTTCTATTATCTTTTATTATTAACTATGTAACTAGCGCCCTATCGACTAGCGATTAACCTCGTTCGGCCGTTCGTCTCGATATACTAAGTAGTACCTACCCCTAGTACACGCCTACGGTGTAGCTCGTATAATATGTACTACTCTATTAGCGTTTAGGATCGTACTACGCTACACCGACTATTAATCTAGAGACGCCTATAATTTCCCTTCTTACTATATACTCCTACGTCTTTACCCGTACTATATACAAGCTACTATATACTAACGGGCATATAGCGAATTAACGGCTCTTTAAATAGAGTTAGTCCCTAAAGGCTGTAATTATCTAGGAGAAGTATTACTAAACATATGTAGAGAGATATACTAGGGTTATAGGAATGGAGATAGATAGCTAGACGTACTCCTTATCGATTAATGCAACTAAGATATATACGAGTCGCCCTACAAGATTAGAAGTCTAGAGGACCTCGAAAGAGCGATTAATAACGGCGGCTAGTATATAAGAAAAATCGAGCTCCGGGACGGTAAGTTACTTATTACTATAGAAGACCTAGCTAATGCTAGCAGTATACGAATTACGAGAACTCAGTCCTAATAATAGTAAGTTGTTTATTACTATAGAAGATATAGCTAATAAAGGAATAGCGTATAACTAACTACTCGTCGTACGTAAGTTAGGAACCGTGGACGAATACGCCGCTAAGCTTAACTCTCGCCATACCTTTTAGTGCTATAGTTAGAACTACCTAGAAAACAAGTATAGGGACTTATAGGTAGTCGTCGGCGAGGAAATTAGAAGGAGACGCCTTAAACGAGAGACTACGGAGAAGATGCGGACCTAATGGAATAACTAGACATGTCCTAGATTAGACCTATAAAGCGGAGGCTAGAGGTAGCGTAGTAGAAGGACATGTATACAGCCACCGTAGCCGTGGATTAATGGACGAACAAGCAATCAGGCCTATTCCACTTTAGTTATTACGGCCTAGGGCATGTCGTGTCAGTCTCATAGAGGCACTGGTCATTAGAGAACGGAGCCTAACTTTTCGCGCATGACGACAAGGCAGCTATGCAAAATCGGGCCAATCACCTCTCGCATAACAAAGTCTGCTATCTGCTTCTGCGTGAGATAATTGAACGCCGATTCCGAAAAAAAACTCGCGAAACTTCATGTGGCCTCGAGTCCGCTGCCACAGCCCAAAGAGATGGGTGACGCTCCAGTACTGTCCATTTGCCGTGGCTCGGTCTCCACTGCTCTGCCCCTTTCCGCATCTCCTAGAACTTCTTACTATTTATGTACTGAGAGCCGCCGCTTCCCATTACTCTCACTTCAACACACATCGTTCTTATCGAACGCAATCTCAGAGCCAGTTGAACGCCGTACAGGCCACCACGTCCAAGGTGGGAGCTACACGTCTCAAGTATGCTACTCTAGAGCGCTTTTTTCCATTTGCAACAACCTAACTTTGTTCACAGTCCTTCCGGTATGGACGTACTCAGTATCATGGCATCCGCCGCATTTCTCGTGCAGACTATGCTATTGTCGAGGACGATTGTCCTGTTCTTCCTTCGGCATCGAGACGAGTGGCAGAATTGCATTGCAGTGTGTAGATGAGACAGAAGTCAGAGGTCCACTCTGGTCCTCAATAAATTGCTTTTGCGCGGCTTGCATGACAGCCGGATCGGCCAGACTATCGAGCGTGAGAATGCCCTCTTTCATTTCCCATCCGACACCCTGAAATTTCGAGTTAGTCGTTCATGCCATCTCCTAGACAAGTTTGCGAATGCCTGGAGCGACCTACACTAAGCACATGATCCTGCAAGTTATTGCCGATCGCCAGATTCGCGACTCTGCACGCTACGCCGGCACTTTGCGAGACGTCTGGATCGCCAATGCCAGACAGCTCGAGGATCTGAGGTGATTGGATCGCCCCACAAGACACAATGACTTCGCCTTTGGCATGTGCCGTAAAGGCCTTCCCCCCGTGCGAGAAACTGACGTCGGTGGCCGTGGTTCCCTCGAGCTCAATTCTGCTGACAGTTGCTTCGGTGAGGACATACAAATTGGGTCGCTGCGCGTTAGGTGCGAAATACGTTCGGGCCGCGTACGATCGCTTGCCTTTGTCTGGGCCTGTTCGCGCGATCGAGCCGCTGTATGGGAGAAAGCCATCRGACTTGACGTACGTGGTACACAGAGGAGAGAGAACGTACAGCGTGTGGTAGAAGCCAATGTGATCGCCAGCGTAAGGGTCCTTGGGTCTCTTGGCTATGCCAGTAACTTCGTCAAAGGCTTTGATAAAGTCCTCCTCAATGGGGAAAAAGGTATCGTTGAAGGACGTGTGGATAGGGCCTGACATGCCGTGGTTTTCGTCGACAAAGGGACACAGCGAACGGTCGAACGTGGCCGCCTCGTCAATCGGATCGAGGGTCTGGTGCTTTCGCATGTAAGGCTTCAAATTTGCACTCGACCAAGTTTCATCGCCGGTGATGATGGCCCAGTCGTCGTAGTCCTGATCGGAGCCTCGTACATCTATCACATACGACGATTGTATCAGCACACGGGGTGTTTAAGAAGGCCCGTCCGTCRCATCGGACCTACATACACATCATGAAATTTGAACCTGATTCCACGTCAGCGATGATCTCGGCGTCTCGTGCTGACCATTGATACATACCTGAGCTTCCGCCCAGCATCTTGCCCCGGGGAATGTGATGTTTGAGGTTGTTGTTGCCTTTCTGGCTCATGCTATCAGTTGGATCTACGGCCACATCAGTTCAAGCGTGAGCGCTCGGCTTTGAAGTTCATCCATCTGGCTGGCGATGTGTTTCAGTATGTACGCTCCTGATCGGCCCTCCGCCCGAATGAGTGATCGTATCGCTGCTTGATTGTCTGTCCATATGACGATGTTTCGCTGGCGTATGACGTCTGTCCTGGCAATGTCCCGTGCGATTTTTGCGATCACTGATAGTTCGTTATAGATTGWCTCGAACTACATCATTGTACTGAAGGGACTGGACAAGCCTGAAACCACATCTCGTTTGAGCACACCCGTCGTCTCCGAGCTGAAAACTGCTGCTCGATGCTCCTAGCACCAATAAATATGCCTGGTTTCGCATGTGAGATCGTGGTACGAGAAAGTGAGGAAAATTGGTATTATTGAGGATAAGAAGAGGATACTGTCCAGTGGGTAATGCCTTGGTCTACAACAGCGATCAAATCTTTGCGAGGATATATCTGTCGCCGACCATAGCCAGCAGCATAGTATTCGACCATCGGAGATTTGATCTGCGCGAAGCGAGTGACGACAGGGTCGAGGTCTATGATCGTCACGGGATAGATGTCCGACGAGTCGTTACAACAATCAATCGTTCACTTGGGGCTTGGTGAAGGCTCCGAACCATCGTCGTTATACGAAAGAAAACATGGACCGCGGACAAGCAAGATGTGAGCAAGCCGAGCGAAATGAAAGCAGCGCTATAAGATCAGTAACAGCACCTGAATCAACTTCAAGGAGCAAATCGTCAACGGGTGCAGCGTAAGTTTGGAGGGGGGGATAATTGTGGTGATCAAGAGCAGGAAGAGAAAGAGAGAGACAAGAAGATGACGAGTACATTGAAAATGGTGAGAACTGCCCGAAGGAGCGCACCAAGAGTGCGCAGCATTCAGAATGGGGTTYGCCGCTTGGACAGCAGACACTGAAGCCGGAACGCAAATGCGCGGTGCAAGACAGGTGTCAGAACATGTACCAGAGCAGCACCGGAAGGACGAGGCGGAGCTTGGCGAGACCAATATTGGTGGGGAGACTACGAGTACACTTGGTGACAATTTTTCTCTCGTCCGTTACCGTATCTGAGCTCGCACTTGAATCTCTCCGCATCGAGAACGCTTCGCACGTCGTCTAGATTCCTCTCTTACTCTGCTTCGTGTCCTGTACTCTTTGAGCATTTCCTGGCTTACGATGTGCTGCCACGTCTGCTTTCCTCCTCTGCCCGATGCAGAGGCAGCGGCGGCACTCTTCCCGCTGTGCTTTGCCCCTCCCCGTCATCGACTTGCAGGACCTCGAAACGCTAAATGGTTTGGAAGATATCTGGTTGCCAATGTGAAGCCGTGATAAGCATTTCGGCTGCGAAAGTCTCCAATAGGTCCTCCATGCCACCTGACGTTTCGTCAGGGTCCGCGTTCGATAGGCAGCAACGTCGTGTCAATCTAGGAGCTTCTCGTGGTTGTTCGATTGGTTTTGCAGCTCTGGGTCATTGCGTTGATCACCTCCCCCTCCCTCATAATCGGCGGTGATCCACTCCAGAGTTCTGGGAAGTTTTGTGACTGAGCCATCAGGCGCTGGACTAGGGCTGAACAGCCTTTACCTGCAGCCTCACGTAATATTTGATTAGCTGAGCCGTCTTCAATTAAGTTGTCAACCATATCATCAATCAACGAGAAGACCGCGTCCCAGTTCCGGTGGCGCTGGTAAGGAGTCCAGCAATCTACCACGAGTTCCCAAAATTGAGTACTTGGAAGCGGGAGCCTGGCTCTGTCACACGAGACAATGATTTTAAGTCTCGCTAGGTCACCCCATCGTAAAATCTGCTCAGCAGCGGCAATAGCCGAGTCGGACAGGAACGGTTCTGTAGAAAAGTCCGAATTTTTTATCATGTGGTGCAGCATAGTCTCAGAACCATACAGGGACGTGATACCGAGAGGATCATACAGCTTGCTTCGGAATTCAAATCGGGCCTGCACTATGCAGCCCGGTCGGCAGTTTTGTTGCGTCCAGTTATGAAGTCGAGTAGAACCGGCCGAACAAAGTGCTTCAATATCTCTCAAGGCCGGTAAGTCTGGATGTTCAGCCACTCCGAAATGGTCGACCCAATGACATGACGCATACACGAAGAACTCGCCAAATCCACGTTCAGTCGGATCATAGCGAATCATGTTTTTTTCCCATTCGTCCCATGTGCAGTACGCATCATATTCGACTTCTTGTTCTTCCTTGTCATCCAAGAAGCCGGGTAGGGCATCGTTAAATATCATATCTTCGGAGAAAAACTCGATCCTATTGATATCATCCAGTAGAAGATACTTGATGCATAATCTCAGCATGTATGCGTCCAAGTTGTTGATCCACTGGCCGGCCATTGGCTGATTCCTAACTTTCGAGGCAGCCATCATTTGGGGACCAGGCCACTGCGACCCGAGCTTTTGAATTATGTATTCCTTGACCGATTGATGTGAGAGTTGAACCCTGCCTTTGTTGATGTCGTCAGATTGGTCCCACGAAATGAACGGAGCAATGAGCTTTAGGATTCTTCTTTCGTCTACGAGGTCGGCGAGAGCATCTACAGAGCTCACACTCGGTGGAGCTGTTGCTAGCGCGGCGGCCCACGCTAACTCATGCGTGGAAAGAGGTCTACTGCTCGCAGCAAGGGCCTTCAGCGCAGCACCGGCGAGGTTCTGATTATCCAGGTCATCCATGGTATACTGTTGAAATAATCGCTCAAACAAACCTGAAAGGCGAGAAGGCAACGGCAGCTCGTCCAGAAATAATCGCATCGGAGCCGGAGCCTGGATGTGGCGATCCTCAAGGAGATTAGTCACCATTTTTATCCAAATTGCGCTTCCCTTAGCGGAGGAAGACAGCCGCTCGATGACGAGCTCTTTGAGATCGTTCGAGAGGTAGTTCAGCTGTCTTTCAACGGTATGGCTCACGATTGCGCGATCTCTTCGACGGCTGAGAACAAGATCGATTCGATCATTTTGATCAAAATGCTGCAGAATCTCTTCGTTGCGGCGAGACAGTAGAAGAAACTTCATGCCTGGATTGTTTCTGGACGAGCGTCCTAGCAGATCGATAATGTCGGATCGAGATAGTCTGTCGCATTCGTCCAATCCATCAATGACAACGAACAGAGGACGTTCAACAGACCCTAAAGCATTCTCGAGGAACGTCCCAAGTTTTCTGGCATCTTTCACAGGCTCGATGTTGCCAGATGCTTGGTTTTGCATATACCATTCGTGGAAAGTCCTTTTCAATCCGGGCAGCTGTTGCAGTAGCGATAATAACAGGACTGACAGTATGTGGATCATACGACCAGTCTCGTCATCTCGACAGTAATGATAGCAAATGATCGGACGCGGGACGCGGGATTCCCGCCTTTCGTGCAACTTGTCCACTGCAAATGCGGCCACAACGCTTTTCCCAGTGCCCATGTCGCCCAAAATCACTAGACGCGATATCCCGGGACTGCGATACCATTGGACAAACTTCGGATCCTTCAGCAAGAAGTCGCAACCATCATCAGCTCTGAGACTGGCGAGGGATCCATGGTGTTCGCTCTGTCGTTCGACTTTGTCTCCGCCAAGCCATCTTGCAACTACAAAGGAATCAGCATGCACTCGATTTTCACGCTTTAATAGATTGCTTACTTTGTTGGTCGTATAGCATAAGCTTTATGTCGTTGATAATGTCTGCAGTAGCATTCTGCACGATCTTATGCAACACCTCAGTATGCTTCAGGAAATCTGCGACAAGATCCGGGAGGTGATTATTAACAAGCACTGTCTTCATTACAATCTTGACACCTTTGAGCTTGAGAATATCGAAAGAAGCCTGGTAGAATTCGAGGAGAACTCTATACACTGACACAAGTGCCTAGCAAAATTAGATAGACTCGGGTCACAGAGAGTGATGACACACCTTGTGTATATTGTCCTTGTTATTTGCGCGCTGTCCCAGGGTGTCGCACTCATCAATGTACGACATGTAATTCAGCATCTCGCCAACCTGCTTTGCAAAGTCCAGGTCTGCACTCGCAAAGCTGATAGCAATCTACTCTATTGTGTTAGCTATAGATTCTCTTCTCCGACCACGAAGCCTATATTTGTATGACAACTACCGGGCGAACCTACCGCTGTGACTCCTGTAATGATGCCAAAGACTGTATTCGCAGTAGGGTCAAAACTTGCGAGCGGACTGGCCAAATCTAAGGCCATTTTGATATTCTTGAGAGGGACTTGGATGGAAGTTAAATACTTAACGCCGCGAAGGAACATTGAGTTGTCCTTCGCATCTTTTTCCAAAGCGTCGAGCTGCGTGAAAATCTGCTCGAGTGTCTTGTTCTCGAGAAGAGCCACATTTATCTCTCCACTGAGACTGCGTACCGCATCACGGAAGGCAGCACTCCAGACATCATGATGTTTGCCCTGATCTCTCAAATCTTGGCTTGTCACGGACGTATCTGGAGACATCTGTTCGGCGGCGCTTGTAGGGATATGTATTTGTGGGGATAGAGTCACAGCAAGTTCGCTCTCAACAGCCGTGGAACTGAGCGAGACGTCTTCGTCGCTGGAGCGTAGCGAGTGGGATCTTGCCGGTCGTGTAGCAACATTTTGCCTATGTTGTCGCCATAGCGACTCTATCAGCTGGATTACACAATTCGTAGGAGGAAATGAATTTCTTACTTGATTGCAATGTCGTTTTGTACTTGTGCTTCGGGGAATTTCGTCTCTGTGGACTTGACAGAGGAGCGCTCCCTGCTCGATCTGAGGCGAGAAAGACTGTTGGGTCGTAAGCGATGGAGATGGTCGAGCAGCCTATGTCCTGGACTCTTATGAGGTGGAGGAGAGTGAGACATCCGCAGTGCTCAAGGTCTTTGATCTAGTTGTGCTGGACCATGATATCAAGCGATTCGGGCGCGGTAAGAGTCGCGACGGCGGGGTCCGGCTTGCTTTTCGATGCCCGTCAGGTTCACGGTCATCCCTGCCTCGGTAAAGCTCGTGCCCCACCCAATGACTCATGCAACTAAGTGCGGCTGGTTTATCGGAGTAAGTCAGCCTGGCCCACCCGAGTGATGTGGTGAAATGCGTAGACACCGACCTTTCATGATCAAGAGCACTTTCGGAAGTGGGTGGCCTACTCAAAACATGGAAATTGGTGTCATCTCCTGCTGACTTTGGCTACATAGATCTGAATAAACAACCAAGTAGTCAAGGTGCAAAGGCGTCGGATCCGGCCGCTCGAGAGGCGAAAATCAGCTGGCGGGAGACTCGTTGTGCCTCAGACCTTGACACACACACACACACACACACACACCAATCTGGCTTCACGACATTTCGAAATACTTGAGCTCATCTCATATTATTTGCAGTCGGCATGGACGGGGATCAACACAGTTCGACGGCTGCTGCAAAAGGCATACTGAAATTGTCAAGCAACATTCGCAGGAAAATTTTTMAGTCAGTGCTTGTCATGCGTCACGAACTTCATGTTTTTCGAGACCCGGGTGGTCCACCGGAGGTATTCGCCCCTGATGCTCCTCGTCACTGGCATGCACTGCTGCACACCAGTCGCCAGATCAGTCAGGACGCTGCAACAGTACTTTACGGTCTGAATACGTTCAATTTCATGGAAACGGTGGGCGAGCAAGCCGGACTGTTAGCAGCTTTTCTGCAATCCATAGGGTCGCGCAATGCTGACATGTTGTCGCATGTCTCTATCGGGTTCCCTGTCATAGTGGAGGGCACGTTCAAGCTCCAAGAGGATGGCTCGCGAATTCTACAACTCCTACAACAGTCCTGCTCTGGCCTCGGGACGCTGGAATTTCATGTTAACGGGAAAAATTCCAATTGCTTGACGAATCCCGATGAAACCAACGTGGACGCCGTAAAAAACACCCTCCAGGACTTCAACGCCAGATTGAGAGCCATTCGCACTCTAAGCAGGATCGTTGTACGGTTCTTTGTTGGACGTCCAACTCCTTCGGCAATGCATATCATGCAAGACCTGGGTTGGACAGTTCTACCAGCGCACAACAACCAGTGGTAGCCTTGATTGGCTCTTCAACTCATGGGGCCGGAGTGCCGAACATGGCTCATCTCGTGAGCGCCAGCGCACAGCATCGACGAGCGGATCATGTCAACATTGAAACTTTGTCCGAAGTTTGCCTATGGCCACGTATTGTCTGGACCACTATATAGCTGATTGAGCCATCGTCAATCTCATGAAGACTGTCATTTTCCCTCACTGATTCCATGAGCTCCATGCGTGCTGTATCTCCAGAGCCTGAATGATCCGTTGTCAATGATTGCCTCAATACTCAGTCAACAATCCCTAATTGCTTGTCAAAGGGCTTGGCAATTGTGCTTGTCAGCGATTCAGCTCAGCAGTCTGTGACCGAAAAGTATCACCGTCCAGGACACGCAAGAAAAAACACCAACACAACGAGAATCGAAATTTTTGAAATTCAGTCTTACTACAGTGCACTACATTCGCCTTTGAGGGTTGTGCGAAGAAGTGTAGTCGGCAGCGTCGCCCAACGCGCCTACTGCCTATGGCGGAAACATAACCTACGGGGGTCATCTGGCTCAGAGAATACCGAGAGCATGCCCAGCAACTCATGAAGTACCTGCTTGAGACACGAGGCGACGGAGCTAGACGTCTCGGTAAAGAATAGCGTCTTCATGAGATAAAGGTTATTTCCCGACCACATAAACATATGTATGCACGCTAATTTTTATGCGAACCAAGGATAGCTCTTATCTTAACGGAGGAACTCTCGGAAACCATAACAGCATGCTTAGACAGACTCCGCAGCTATGAGACGTACACACCTGCCGCAGCCATATTACCTAGGCCCCCCCCGAGATGAATAATTGGCGCCAGAGACGCGATTGAACAGAGGTGAATCGTAATAGGGGCGATTGGCGGCGTCGACGCCAATAACGACTAATCGATCAACATCTTGCTTTATGCTCGCATCGAGGCACGCTTTAATGTGGTAGATGCGAAGATGGTGAATGGCTTAGCACGACACGGCGCCGATAGGCTACGCCTAGTTCCAGCTCCTCCTCGGGGTAAAGGACGCTAGGAAGCTCCTAAGGCCTTTCCTACGCGTGTCCGTCTCTTTATAGGGATGTCTTATACGTATAAAGATGTATTCTATTCGTCTAAGACTAACGTAGCATTTAGTACAAACGCTCTGCCGTATATATGTTTAGTATAATCTTAACGGTTAGGAGGCCTAGGGTGTCGACGACGCTAACACTAATACGGAGGGCGAGCCTAACACTAAACACGATACGCCGTAGTTAATAGAAGATGCCGTTAGGGCTTATCTAGACTACGCCCGACGCGCTTTAGCTAGAGCCCTCGGGATTAACTACTACGTAGTCGAAGAAACATTACGGAGGGAGTAAGAGCAGCGTTAAAAACGACGTAACGACATTATAAAAGATTATAAGCTATTACGTTAGTTAGGCGAGATAAGTCACAAGATATAGAAGCGTAAGGCCGCCGACGTAAACGATCGTAATATAGCGAAAGTCTAACGTACGCTTAGACATACTACTATACTTACGCCTACTAGATTTATGTTCCTAGAGCCTAAATTAGAGTGCGACTATTTAACTAGCCCTATATAGTTAGCTGCCTCTCCGTAGTCGACTTAATTAGGCTGGGATCCTTATACGCCTAAACTATACAAATAGACTGTCCGAGACTTAGGTAATACTAGTAGCCGTACGAACCCTATTTTCGTCGAATCTGCTCTCCCTTATCGCTCGCCTAAAAGCGCATCCGGGCGTCGAGCTAAGAGCATTGTCTACATCTTTTCTCCCCGCCCTAGTATTAGAGCTATAGAGAGTTCTCGAAGCAAGAGAAGATCTACATCTTCTAGAACGAGCAAAATTTCCTCGGACAAGGTGGAGCTTCTAGCTAGTAAATACAATTACGACAGATTTCTCGATAACGCTAGGCGCTCCGCGAGTAGGAGCTTGGGCTAATAAGAGTTCAGATTTCTGATCTTTAGACATAATTTCAGCATCTTAACACGGCAAGCGCTTTTTCTATCCTATACTATGTATTACGTACTTGGCGCATATTCTTAACGCCTAGACTCGTACTTCGCTTACGTTGTTTCATTCTATTCCGCTACTACTTAATACTATTCTAGGAAGATTTCGTAACTCCGGTATCGGTTAAGGGCTTAAAAGGGCGTCGGGAAACATGGATTATTAATCCCTAGAACCTAAAAGACGTCTAGCCGTATATAAGCAATGTAAGCTTTAATGTCCATCCTAGCGTCGCGAGCCACCTAGTATAGCGAGCCGTAATAATAGTCTTCACTTTATTAATCTACGTCCTATAAGCGAAAAGAAGCTTACGACACACGACACTATTTATTAGTTATCTAGACACCTTCGAACGAAAGCATAACTTAAAACACAAGATGTTAATCGGTTAGTCGTTATTAGCGTTAACACCGCCAATCGCTCTCTATAAGACCCACCCCTGTTTAGTTATGTTTCTAGAACTAATTCTCCATTTCGGCGAGTTTATGTAATACTACTACGGTAGGCGTACTTATCTTATAGCCGAGATATCTATTTAAGCATACTGTTGTAGTTTCCTAGGGATTCTCCGATAAGAAAGAGGATCTTAGATTAGGGTTATACCTTAGCGTGCCTACATATGCTTATATTATGCTATAACTTGTGTAAATGCGCTTTATACTATCCTCTATACGGACAGTTTCGACATGTACTTAGATATAAGTCGTAGTCTGTTCCCCGCTACCGCGTAAGTTAAGCCTAGGAAGCTTCGGGGTCTCGGCGGAATATTAAAGAGGAAGAACAGTTATCTCGCATTACGAACTTGTTAATTGTATATTATAGCATATCTACTATAGCTATGATATTAGATAATGAATTTCGTTAAAGTGGCCTGATTTTACGGACTTCTATATATGTCGGCGCCCTCTTATATAGCCCCGCGGCAAGCCTCTACTAAGCTTTTAGCTAGAAGCCTCTAAGCCTTCTACTACGAATCCTATAAGGCTGATTCTAATATAGAGTACGTTAGCTGTCTTTCTACGCTATCTATAGTTATACCTGCGGTTTCACGCAGCTAGAAATTCGAACGATGCGCCTACTAGAGAGTAACGGTAGCGGCACGGCCTACCGGATCGAGGATTTCTATAAGAGCGAGCTTCCACGTCTAAATTACGCGATACTATCGCACACCTAGGGTGTAGACACGGACGAAGTCACTCTTTAGGATTTGTAACAAGGAGATAGTATGGACAAACCTAGCTACCAGAAAATCCAATTCTACGCCGAGCAAGCACGACGCGATAGAATTGAGTTCTTCTAGATCGATATATGCTATATCGACAAGACGAACTACGTCGAGCTCTTAAGGGCTATTAACTCGATGTTTCGGTAGTATAGATAAGCGGAGAAGTGCTATGTCTATCTTTTAGATGTCGCACGAAATTAGGAAGAGCCAAGTCTAAGAGTAGAGGACTAGGAGGCAGATTTCCATCGGAGTAGGTGGTTTAAGCGAGGGTGGACTTTATAGGAGCTACTCGCACTAACATTTGTTAAGTTCTTCTCTAGACATAGGGATAAACTTAGCGACAAAAGTACACTAGAGCGACAACTAAGTAATGTTACTAAGATACCTATCGAGGCGCTACGCCGRAATACGCTTGCCTTATTTACTAAGTAAGAAAGGCTCTTATAGTAAGAAAGTCGACAGACTAAAGAAGAGGAGGACATAATATATTCCCTCCTTAGTATATTCGACGTCTCTATACCGGTTATCTACGGCGAGGGGAAGTACAAAACCCTAATGAGGTTAGAACGCGAAATCGACAGTGCTTATAAGGGTGAGTAATCCTGACATTTAGTGAATTATAAGGATTTCATAGCGACTAACGAGGCTTAGAGCCGAATTACCGGACGTTTACCGTCGCCTTCGTACTTTATCGCGCGATAGTCTAAGCTAGAAGACATACGGAAGGCGTTAAGCGGTAAAGGCGCTAGAAGGAGTGTTACTATTTATAGACTAGGAGGCATCGGAAAGACGCAATTAGTAATTGCTTATACAACACGGTATAGAAAAGACTATTCGGCTATCTTCTAGATAAACGCTAAAGACGAGGACAGCTTAAAGCTTAGCTTTACGAAGATTACTAAGTAGATAGTTCGGTAATACGCTACTACGAGTAGTATACCCAATCTAGATATAAGCTCGACGGATCTCGACGAGATCGTTAATACCGTTAAGACGTGGCTTAGTTTGCCCTATAACACGCGATAGCTAATAATTTACGATAACTACGACAATCCGAAGACGCTAGGTAACCTCGATCCTACGGCGTTAGATCTACGGTAGTTCTTCCCGGAGTCGTATTAAGGATGCTTGATTATTATAGCGCGATCTTTATAAGTTACATTTAGTCGAACGCTACGGCTTAGTAAGCTAGAGTCGTTAAAGGACGGCTTAGTAATACTGTCTTACGCATCTAAGCGCGGTAAGCTCGAACACGGTATATACGGGAATTAGATTTTAGGTCGTTCGCTAAATTCTTATACTTTTAGATCCTAACGCGGCGGAGCTTACTAAGGAACTAGATGGGCTACTACTAGCACTAGCTACCGCGGGAGCCTACCTATGCTAAGTATCTATTAGTTTTTAATAATACTGTCGGCTCTATAAAGCTTTATAGGCGAAGCTATAAAAGATTAGCCCGACCTTAATTCGTATAAAGATCGGAGGTTATACTCGACATAGTAGATATCCTTCGATTAGATACAAGAGAGAAACCACGTCTCGGCTTATCTACTACGGCTTTAGGCATACTTCGACAACGAAGACATCTAGTTTAAGCTTCTCTACTATACTAACGAGGATAGTCCGGCGTGGCTATTTAAGCTAACGTAACATTAAATCGACTTCTATAGTGCTGTTCGAGTAATATGCGACTATAGTATCGTAGAGACAAATGCTGTTACGAAATCAACTTAAGAATCGGTCGGGTATAG